TGGGAGACAGAGCTGGTCAGGAGGGGCCCTGGGCTGAGCCTGTGCTGGGGACAGACGTGTGCATTTGGGTCAGGAGTAGCCAAGCAAGCACACGACCTTGGGCTGGCTTTTCCCCACCTGTGCCGCCAGGCTTGTCCACGCTATCATTATTACAGCCTGCTTCTCAAATTCAGCTGGTCTTTTATGCATTTTTAACAAGCCAAGGTCAAAGTTATCACCCAAAGTTGAGATGGCAATCTCTTCTCTAAGTAGCCGGTATCTAAAAATACCCCTTCCTCAGGCCAGCGGCGTGGAGTACATGTCTGGTTCCAGGGGAGGGGTGTGTGGGGTGTTCCTCCCTAGTGGGATGTTAGGTAAGAATTCTAAAGGAAAGCCTTCTAAGGTCAGGTGCATTTTGCCAACAGACTTTTGTTGGACAAGGTCAGACAGGTCTCACTGCAGGACTTACCAGAGCCTTTAAGATCCTGATGTGCATGGTGACTGGAGCAGGTATGGGTCAGGAGCAGGGCATGGGATGCACCTAATCGTGAACATTCATGAGGCATTTGTAATGTGCAGGTATATGTGGGGGCGGTTGTTGGTGAGCATGAGACCTGTCAACCTAAAGGGTGTTTTTGTCTTTGACTCTGGATAGTTGGGGTATGGATATGTCTAATTTAAGCATCATTAGAAGCTACAATACATACAATTTCATGCCCTGCTTTTTTGCAATCAGCTATAAAACACTGCTATTGAGTCAATACTGACTCATAGCAACCCTATAGGACAAGGTAGAACTGCCCCTATGGGGTTTTGAAGCTATAACACTTTAGGGGAGTAGAAAGCCTCATCTTTCTCCTGAGGAGCTGGCTGGTGGTTTCGAACTGCTAGCTTTGCGGTGAACAGCCTAAAGCATAACCACTAAGCCAGCCCATGTTAACTTCTTGGGCTCTGGAGTCAGCTCTGAGATCTACTTCCAGTGACATTTATTAAGCAGCCCTGTGACCCTAGGCTCTGAACCTCCCTTTCCTTGCTGTAACATGGTGGCAAGAGCCCACCTCTCGTGGTCACTAGTGAACCAGATGAGATTCCTGCTGGGCACAGTCAGCACCTGGGAAGTGTGACCGTTCTCAGGTCTTGGGAACGTTCTTTGTGGCTCGAGATGGGCTTTGAAACCCAGATATTTAAAATCTTTATACAATTCCATTGTGTGTATGCCGCTTAATTTCCTTCTACATTCTGCTGGGTATAAGGGAGGGCAGAAGGAAGACTGGGGGTTGGGGGCAAGTGGGGAGGCAGGCCAGGAGGCCGGTGAGTTAGCACCAATCTGTGAGGCTTGCGGCGGACCCGGCTCATCAGCAGCTTGAGACAAGCAGTCGGCTCCCAGCTCAGCATCCTTGACTCGGAGGGCGGACCCCACAGAGGAGCCCTCGTCCCCAGCCAGATGGAGACAAACGACAGGGGGAGGGGGCAGCAAGAGCCAAGACAAAGAGTCTGACAGGCCTGATTTATGGGGACCGGGAAGATGTTGGAAGTTAAATATGCATTGGGTGGGTTAGCAGAGGCTGAGGGAAAACACCGCGAGGATTTGAGGAGCATGACTTGGGACAGTGGTGAGTGTCACTCGGCCCCGGGGCAGCGGTGGGGTCTGAAGGCAGAGGAAGAGATGATTAAACATTCAGAAAGCCACCTTTGAGCTGATGGGAGGCTGATGGGCAGTCGGCGGCTCCACCCAAGTCCTGATCACCATCTTCTGTCACCTGCCAGGGCAGGGCCTTCTCGCTGGTCTCCCTACCTGGACTCTTGTCCCCCCAGAGAAACCATTCTCCACGGAGCAGCCCAAGCTAAAGAACTCACTGCCATCGAGCAAATTCCAACCCAAATCTGGATTCAAACACACCGCGAAAACTGACCACCCAGCCGAAAGGTCTTTATCAAGCCATTGACCAGAGCAGGCCCTTCAGAGCGTCCGATGGCTTTCAACCCCTGACCGAGTGAAACCAGCCTCTGTGTCATGACCCAGCCCGCTCCTACCTCCAGGGACACCTTCCAGCCTCACAGGCGGGGCTCCTCCTGGCCCCAGGGTCTCCCCTCATGCTCTTGCCTCTTTCCAGAAGGTTCCATCCTTCAGGTCTTGGTTTAAAACTCCATTCTTTCTGGAAGCCTGGCATTCACCCCCTAGACTATGTTAAGACCCTCTTTCTTATAGCATGTGAGCACTTCTAACAATTGAAGTTAATTCAAGATTTGTGTTTTTAAATCAACCTGTTTTATTTTTTTTCATAAACAGTTTATTGGCACTTCATCCACATATCATACAATTCAATCATTCAACCGTATCAAGAAGCATTGGACCGTCTTTACCACAATCAATTTCAGAACGTTTTCTTCTTCCCCATACTCGTGGCTATTCATTTAATTTTTTTTTCATTTTGGCAAAAATATACAAAACAAAACATTCACCAATTCAACAACTTCTACTCTATAATTCAGTGCCATTGATTAGACTCTTTGGGTTGTACAAACATTATCATAATTGTTCTATCACCATTAACATAAACCAAATGTCCCCCAAGCAAACCTCCCATGGTAACCAGAGGTCAAATTTAGTTTCTTTTCTTTTTTCTTTTTAATAGTCTTCTTGATGCAATATTCACATACCATACACTTTCAAAGTCAAAGTGCTTCTAGATATATCATCACAACCAACTTGAATGCTCCTGCCCCCCGCTTTATCTGTTAGAGTGGTGTGAGGTTTGCAGAAAATCACCTGGAAAGTGGAGCACTCCCCTGCGTCCTCCTCTTCCCCCACCTTCGTGTCCCATTTCATTAGCATCTTGCACTTGTCCCATTAATGAGCACTATTGATACATAATTATGAATAAAAAGCAGAGTTGGCTGTAAATAGTGAAGCGCTCGGCTCCTAGCCAACAGGTTGATGAGTCAAACTCACCAGATGTACCTCGGAAGAAAGGCCTGGTGACCTGCTTCCTAAAAGGGACGCCTCGGAAGCCCTCTGGAATACAGCTCTCCTCGGCCCTGACTGGACAGCGGCTGGCTTGGGTTTGGTGGACAGTTTACCATCATGCTCAGTCTTTGTGTTGTACTGTGGGTGCAGGGTGTCCTGAATCATGTAGAACAGTGTCACCGTCCCCAACACCCCTGTGATTCACCTATTGTCTTCTCCCCTCCCTTCCCCTCTCCTCCCCTCCCACACTGATCATTTTACTGTCTACCTGTTAGACCCTGTGGTCCATCAGAGCAGGGACTCCTCAGACTTGTTCTCCTGAGACTCACTGCTCCCTGGTCAGAGCCTGGTGCATATGAAGTAGTTTTCTTTGCATATTTGAATAAAAACAGGATCCTCCTGAACAACGTTATTCTGCAATTGGCTCTTCACAAATATTGACATCTCTTGGAATGCCTCCCTTGTTGGAATATAGAGCACACTCTTCCGCTCTCTTTAACGTTTCATCATGGAGCGTTTCCAACCTGCATACAAAAGCAGAGAGAATCTGCTCTCCCCAACCGCCTGGTCCCCGCTACCTGACCGTGGCAGCGACCAGCTCCCGGCCCTGCCTGCTTCCTCTGCATCTCGACCCAGGCCCCTTTCCTGTTTCATGCCGTCGAAGAACGCACCCATCATTGCCCCTTGAAGGACGTCCAAACATCACCACACCCCCGCCAGCACGCCTCGGAAGCCTTGGTGACATATGATCAACTACAGACAGGGGTGCACGTTGTCGATGGTCAGATACATGCCATTTCCATTGGGTGAGTGTGTTTGAATCAAGATCCATAGAAGGGACACATACGCCAGCTCGTTGATGCACTTTGAGGCTCCTCATCACTCAGGTCCCCCTCCACACCCCAGACAGGTATGCGCATGCTCCGAGGACTTTCTTTGGTTCCTTCTTGCTCTTGAAATTCATCTGTTGAAGAAACTGGGCCGCATCTTCTGGAGCATGTTCCTCAGGCTGGGCCTTGCTGGCCGCACCCCCACGGTGGGGTTACTGTGTCCCTCTGGGTTTCTTGTCCACTGGTGGTTGGAACAGAAGGCGTCATTGACTCGGGGTCCATTGGCTGGGGCAAGGCTGCTTTGCGGCAGGTGTGGGCGGTGTCCCCGGAGGCCCGAGGCCTGGGCCATGGCTTCTGGTTGTGGTGAGTTACTCTCAGGTCAGCTCTGACTCAGAGCCAGCCCTGGACAGCAGCCTGCACCATCTTCTTTGCCGGTGGGACATGGGGTCCGTCAGCCCCCCCCCCTCCACCCCCGCTCGGAGGATCTCTTTCCCTGAGCATCTCGTTGGGTCCTGCCATCTTCCTCTGATGGCTGGAATGCTTCAATACAAAGGAACCTCTCCTCGTTCACTTTTTGGGGTTACCGTGAGGTGCACTTGATGTCGGGCTGATTCTTTCCCTTTATTTACCAGTTTTCAGCATAATGAGTTGCCTATGAATATTTGAAAGAATGAATGAATAACGCATGCATGGGTGAGTTGACAGCGCCTTGGGAGTCGGGACTTCCCTCTGTCTGCTCTCAAGGCCAGGGACCTGAGCCTCAGGCTGAAGGGCAGCCCCCATCCTTAGCCAGGCCAACGTCTGCGCAGTGAGAGGCAGGTGGGCACCTCTTGGTACCTCTCGACCCACCTCAATCATGGCTAAGGCTATCAGATTCTGGGTGACTAAGAATAAGAGTGGGACAAGGACAGCTCAAAGGCCCCCCCAATTGAAGGACAGGACTCCTTGAAGCCACCATCTATGGGGAGTGTGGACAAACAGCAGAGTCCCCGGCAGCTTTCACACCGGGAAAGGGACTCTGGGGTTTTGGGGGCTAGTGTTCCCACAAAGGAGAAGGAATTGAGGATTTCTCAACTGGAAGGAATGTCAGGGCAGGTAGGCCCAAGGGCCTCTGGGATCTCTTCCAGGCCAGATCCAGCACCCTCTGAGCCCATCTGGGGGCCAGGGTGGCCTGCCTACCACTCACTGACGTCTCTCCTCCCTCTGTGCCCGCCCCCCCCCAGGTGCAAGTGTAACCTGCACGCCAACCTGTGCTCTGTTCGGGAGGGCAGCCTGCAGTGCGAGTGTGAGCACAACACCACCGGCCCGGACTGTGGCAAGTGCAAGAAGAACTTCCGCACGCGCTCCTGGCGGGCAGGCTCCTACCTGCCGCTGCCCCACGGCTCACCCAATGCGTGTAGGTACCAGTGCAGTGGCTGCCAAGAGCAGGCCACCAGATGGTGTGGCCTCCCCAGCCCTTCAAGCTCCAGAGCCAGGGCTTGCTCGCGCTCTCTCTCTCTCTCTCTCTCTCACACACACATATACCTCACATGCATACACACAGACACACACATACAGAGACACTGAGAGAGACATAGACACAGATGTGCACATCGCTGTTATATGGCTTTCCATCACCGTCCCTTCTGCCCTGCCTGGGGAATCCAGCTGTGTCCACTCAGTCAGTGGCTTCCCAGCTGTCCATTCCTACCTGGACCCGGAAGGCTGGGAAGCAGGTCTCCAGAATGTTGGGGAGTGAGGCTGGTGGATGCCCCCATGCTAGGCTGAATGATGAACATCTATGGGGTGCTGACAGAGCCCTGGCGGCTCAGTGGTTACGTGCTGGGCTGCAATCCGAAAGGTTGGCAGTTTGAAACCACCAGCTGCTCCTAGGGAGAAAGATGGGATTTTCTACTCCCGGAAACCGTTATCGTCTTGGAAGCCACGGGAGCAGTTCTACGCTGTCCTATAGGGTCTCTATGAGCCAGTGAGTTTGCGTATGTCAGGTGCTTATAGGGAACGATCCTGATGTTGGGTTCGTAGGGCCCCCTCCTCCCACCAGCTCAGGTTCTCCACACACCCTCTTTCTGCTTGCCCGCAAGCCCCCACTCAAGACCGCCGTTTGATCAAAGTCAGGTGCCCCGGCTGGCCCTCCGACGGAGCTCTCCCCACCCGCTCACGCGTGGGCTTGCTCCAATGCTGCCTGCCCACCAGCCTGCACCACTGGCCTTGAGGCCCAGTTCTTGTCACCCCACTCTCCAGGCCATCCGACTGAGGCCCCGGTGCTTCAGTGGCCACCCGGCAAGTCATGGGGTCTGACGCCAGGGTCAGGGCAGCCAGTCCCCCTGCCGGCATGGGTCCGCCGACCGCAGCCGCCCCTTCCACAGGTGGGGAATGTGTGTGATGTCGGCTGATCCAAGCTGAAAGTAACATGGCGGGCCGTGACAGGTGTGCGGTGCCTGCGCCTGATGGCTGTGGGGACAGGCCTTTGAAAGGGGTGCCTGGTCAGGCCCTACGGGCACTCACGGTCTTCAGAGACGCAGCAGGGCCCTGGGTGCTGACAGCTGCCTCCCCTCTCCACCCCCCACCCACCCTCCCGGCTCTGCCCTGTGTCTTTGTTGCTCTGCAGCCTTCTGTGGCTTCCCCTCCGACCTCTGACTCCTGACCTTGCCCTTGGCTTCTGCCCACAGGGGGCCCTCCTCTCACCTCTGCCCCCCCAGCCCCTCCCCTTTCTCTGCAGCACCTCCAGCTCTGTCTTCTCCTGAGAGGATGCACCAAGGTCTCCTGTCAGCCCAACTCCCACGCTGGCCTGGCACTCAGGAGGGCCACTGCCCGCTCCAGGCTGGAGGTCATCCCCCCTTCTGACCAGTGATGGGCAGACAGGGGGTTTAGACCCCAAGTCCTCTCCTCCGTCCTCCCAGCAGGGGAAGTGGGACCGTCCTTGTTTGGGAAGGGGGTATGAATGTCCTGTGACAACTATAACTACAGACCTCAACCTGGGTGGCCTCAAAGGACAGACATTGATTGATTGTCTCATAGTGCTGGTGCCGGGGGATCCAAATCCAGGGTGCCGGCAGGGCCCTGCTCCCTCAGTCCATTCTAGGGAAAGGTCCTTCCTGGTGTCTTCCAACTGCGGGTCATGTGACCATAGCACTGGCTGGCCCTGCGCCATCCCTCCAGTCTTGCTGGCTGAGTGAACCCTTTGTCACAACCGCTGAATCAACCCCTCTCCTTGGGGAGCTTCCTTGTTTTCCCTGACCCTCTCTTTCCGGGAGGCATCTCTTGGCATTCCTCGGCCACTTTCTCTTTATATGCCAAGAGGAGAGACTCCGATTGGATGAGGACCCAGCCTCCTCCTGCATGACCTCATGTTAACTAACTCATAGCATCTTCCAAGACTGTTTGCAAAGCACAGGTACCAGGGGGTTGAACTTCCACATGCATTTTGGGAGACAGGGTTCAATCCACAGTAGAGAAATTCCTGGAGGTAGCCAGTGAACCAGGAGTTTCTCTTGGAATGTTCTGGAAGGTGTTATTTGTCCTCAGCTTTCCCGGGACAAGCAGTGTCAGAAATCCTGGAGAAAACAGCCCCAAGAAACACCGGATGAAGCAAGCCTTGCCCTCACCCAACATTCCCTCATATGCCCACGTCTGTAAGTGGCACCCACACCCAGGAGCCAAGCTGCAGTCTAGGGGTCATCCTGGACGGCAGCCCCCTCCTTCCTGACCTACCTTCACCCACCTGATGAGCTCATCTGTCTCCTGAGCCCAAGACAGCCCTCCACCCCCACCTCTGCCCTCTGTGTCTCCTCCGAAGCTCATCTCAGCCTGCAATCATGCCCCTTCCCCTCCTCTCCCTTCCTCCTCCTGCTACTCACCTGCTTCAAGACCACAGCTCTCTCCACCTGCACTGCCCTCAAGCCCCTTCCCAACGATATGTACAAGACCCCCTCCAATAGGTTCCCGCCTCCCACCCATCCCAGACTTGAACCCTTCTGGATGCCCCACCCCCTCCTGGTATCTCCGGACTGGGTCCCCCCACTCCCACGTGATTCCTGTGGCTTGAAGCAAGAGCACTCCCTCAGGACCCTCCCCTGGCCCTTGCTGCTTCCTGCTCCGTCCTGGGCTCCGCTTCCAGGTGCCTTTCCTGATACCGCCTCTCCTCCGTGCCCCTGCCCCGGCCTCCTGCCTCTTCCTACCTGAGCATGCTCCACACCCCCAGGTCCTCACCTGGTCCTTCCTTGGTGCCCCTGGGGGGCAGGGGGCATTCACCCCAGGTCCAAGGTTGCACTCTCTGTGAGTGAATAGATGTGTGTCCAGTGGCTTGTCCACCCTGCTTGTCCTGGACCATCCAACCAGGGTACAGCCTCAGCTCTCCCAGGAGGCCCCACATGCCCACCCCAGGAAGACCTCCCTGGTGTCTGGGAGGTGTCTTGATTCTTGTCATTTCCGGAGAACGACAATGGACCCTCCCTTTGTGACCATGATACTTCTTCCCCTGGTGAGCCAGGCTTGTACCCGACCACACACACACACACACACACACACACACACACACACACACACTCCCCTTTCTCTCTATCACTCCCAGCTCTTCCCATTTCCTGAGGCTCGGAGGGGGACGGTGTGATTTGGCGGAAGGAAGCCGAGTGTGCTGTGACCTTGAACAAGTCATTTTGTCTCCTGAGCCCGGATCATAGTGATATGCCCCTGTGGGGTCGCAGTGAGGGCCCAGGGGCGCATAGAAGGAGAGTGCTGAACTCTATGCCTGGAGCACACCAAATGCCAAGCCCAGCCCATCGCCTCCTAGCTGCCCAAGCAGACCTGTCCGCCCCGCCAGATTCCAGCCAGGCACATGCCCAGTGGGACTGCTCCCTGGGGCTTTCAAGGATGCCACCCTTGGGAAGCAGGTCACCTTCAAGCCGGGGTGGCTTCAAGAGGCCCTCCCCTAAGCAGTCAGACATCACCATTTGCTGCCTGGCACAGCCCACACCACCAAGTGGGTGCCCACTCCTCTGAGTCGGTGCCCACTCCTCATCCACAGAGTGGAACTTCCCTGAGCACTTCCGGGGGGCAGGGGGCATTCCAACTGCCTTCTGGTTGGGAGCCGATCACTGCATCTCTGTGCCACCAGAGCCCCCTGCCTGGCACACAGAAAGCATTTAACACAAGGTAGTTGTGACAGCACTGCTTGATTAAGGGATTGGGCCATACCTGCGCGTCCCCAGATGGGAACACACATGTGGGCTCCTCTGTAGTAAATCCATCCGAGCTCAGCCAGCCAGCCCTGGACGGGGACAGGGACGGAACGCCGGCCCTCGCCCACCCAGCCCCCTTCTCTTGCACTGCAGGCCCCGGCATCTAGGCTTGAATAAGAGGGGTGCCCGTGAAGCTCCCAGCAATGTGTGGTACTCGTCAGCGGGTCCCACGGGGTACGTCGTGGCTCCCAGACTCAGTTTCTTCAACTGCTGAATGGGGTTAATGACAGCTCCTCCTACTCAGGGCGCTGATGCGACTGAATGGGGACCCCCAGCCTAAGCCTTTCCACCAAGGGGCTCCGAGACCCTCACCACAGTTAGCATCTGTGGGTGGGCACGTGTGACCTTGGAGGGGGGAGGGCCTCCTTCCTCCAGGTTGACAGCAGCCTGTGTCCCTGTTCTCTCTCCCGCAGGTGCCGCTGTGGGCTCCGCCTTTGGCAGTAAGTACATGCCCGGGGAAGGCTCCTGGGAGGCAGCGACCGGAGCCTCACTGCATGTCGGGGGAGAGCGGGGCCTTGATGTCCCCTCTGGGCCTGAGCACCGCTCTGCTTCTGCCTCTAATTGCGCCCCATTTGCTTCTCTGCTCTCACCCCCTCCACCCCCACCCCGACCCAGCCCTGCAGCCTGCCTCCTCGGCCTCTCCCCTCCCTGGAACTTCATTAGTGCTTGCGGGACTGTGTGCGCAGCCCCTCCATCTCCTGGTGAACTCCTTTCTGCTTACCCCCACCCTCTTCCATCTCCCAGACCAGGGAGAGCCTCTCTCCTGCCAGGCAAGAGTGGGAAGGAGAGTTGGGGGGGGTGGGTGAGAGGTGACAGGTCTCCCCACACCTTTCACTCTGACTGTGGGATCCACCGCCCCTAGCCAGCCCCTGCTGCAGCCAGGCGTGGCCATGGTGAGGCCGGGGCAGCCAGCCGTCCCTGTGGTTTAGTCGCGGAGTCATCTCAGCCCCAGGGGCACGCAAGTGCAGGAAGGGGGCATGTGAAGGCCAGGTGAAGGGAGGGTGGTGTCTGGGCAACCTGGCACAGTGGCCCCTGGCACCAGGCACCACGGTAACAGGATGCTCATCAAGCCTCTGGCTCTCTCATTGCCTCTGACTCCTGGGGAGCCTGTGGTGTGGAGCCGCAGAGCAGTGCCCCCAGTGGTTCAAGGGCTGGTTTTTCGGAAGGAGATCGCCAGGCCCTTCTGCGGCAGCCCCTTGGGGTAGACTTGACTCTCCACCCTTGGCGAAGGTATTAACTGTGTGCATCACCTAGGGACTCTAAAAACCTCATAACCCATCACAGTCAAGTCAACTGGGGCTCATAGTGACCTTATAGGACACGTAGAACAGCCTCATAGGGTTTCCAAGGCTGTACGTCTTTGTAGAGACAGACAGACTGCCACGTCTTTCTCCTACAGAGAGGCTGATGGGTTCAACTCACCAGCCTCTCAGCAGCTGAGTGCTTAACCACTGTACCAGCAGGGCTCCTGGGATGCTCATACTGTCCCGTTTGCGTCTCTCACTTGCCCTGCAGGAAGGAATCAGCATCCTCCCAGAAACCTCATAGATGCCACCAAGGGGCACCACCACCCTCCAGGGTTCTTGGGGTCACACCCCATCCAGCACACACACACACACACACACACACACACACACACACACACTGCCCCCCTGCTGGGATGCCACTGGGCAGAGAAGAGGCCAGGGGGAAAACTGGATGTCCCAGGGGCCACGTGGCCATGAGGCCCGATGTTAGTTGCTTCTCTCTCTGTGGTCTCTCCACCTGCCCCTGCTTTTCTCATCTCTCACCAGGCGTTGGCAAGCCCCGGAAAAGCCCTGTCCCCAAAGTCCCTGCAGCCACTGTAGCCATGAGGGCAGGCCTTACCATTCCTGTCCCTTCCACGTCCACTACCTGGATCCCCATGGCCCCCAGCACCCCACAGCCCACAGGTGGGTGCCAGTGACCTGCTGCCCCCTGCTCCTTATAGCTGCCAACCTCTCAGCCACAGGGCGCAGGCTTGCCTCTTAGACATAGAGAATGCTAGAACCCTAGAGATGCAGGGACTTGGGCCAACCTCTCCTCAGGCCCCAGCCAATGATTCAAAGATCCCTTCAAGCTGCCAATTGCTTCTCCCCCTGCCCCCTGTCAGGCACTGTTTAGGAGGGCCTTGAGACAGTGGACCAGTTGGGCACGAAGGTCTGTGGGGGAGGGCATGGGCGGCAGGGAGGCCACACTGAAATCCGGCCACCTTCAGGGCCTTTCCTCAGGTGTCCCTACCTCAGTGTGACACCCCTGGTCTCCCACCACCTACTCTGCCCGAAGCTCCTCGGCACTGTGGGGCTGGGTATCTTAGAAGGTGGTTTGGGGGACTGAGCATATGGGTTAGGGACAGACTCCTGTCTCTGCTAACCCGGCAGCCCTCTCCCAGCACTCTGCAGCCTGGAGACCCCTACCCTATAATTCTCCTCCATGGGCAGGATTTGTATATCAGAGACCTGGGCTGCTGTGGTGACCTGGCCCTGCTGTCCCACCTGGTCTCACCTGGGGCTCTCACCGCAGGTGCCAAGAGTCTGAAAGGACTCATGCTCTCCAGAGGGGACCAGGATGATGGTGGCCAAGGAGAGTCCTTCCTGTCCCCAGCTGGAAAGAGACACCCAATCCTGCTGCCCCCCCACCCTTCCTCTCTGCCCACTGAGGGGAGCACCACACTGTAGCTCTTTCTTCCTGTTTCCCTCCCTCCTCCAAGAAGCTTGGCAAGAGGCCGGGGCTGGCCAGCAGATTGGAGGGTAACCTGTTGCCCAGGAAACCTCCTTGGGGTGGAGGGTAGTGTCACTCTGGGAAGCTCGGGCATAGGATGTCCCAGGTCACCTGTGACTTATGCTTTTGTTGAGCCTGTGGTGGGCAGACAGGGAGCAAAAATTGTCACCGTGGGTGCTGTCTACCTTCAAAGAGGGACCCCTCTCCAGGAGCCAGACGCATTCTCTGGGTGTGACACACAGCTGGGGCAGCCTTGGTTCAGTCTGTGCAGTAGCTCTTGACGGGGGCGAAGGGGAGAGGGGGCGGCACGAAGCAATGCTGGATGCTCTGGGCAAGTCGCAGGCCAGAGAGATGAAGCTGGAGGAGGTAAGATGGCCTGGGCCCCCAGGTGACGAGAAGGCAGCCCCTCCCACAGGCTGGACTAGCTAACATTTAGGAAGGAGAACGTTGTCATCTAACAGAAAAGTCCAAAGTTCAAATCCACCAGCTGCCCCAAGAGAGAAAGATGAGGCTCTTTACTCCCATAAAGAGTTAGTCTAGGAAACCCACAGGGGCAGTTCTGCCCTGTCCTGTGGCGCTGTACGTCAACATCCTGTGGGTATGAAGGTTTTGAATTTGGTCTGCTTAGCAGTCCTGAGCCTGGCTCGGAGCAGCAGAGAGTGGAGGGAGGGGTGAGGGCAGGAGTTCCACCGCAACTGCCAGTGACCCCCACAGGCCAGTGACCCCCACAGCCCCATCTAAGCAGCCAGCCCCTCCTCCTGTAATAGCTGCGCATGCACTGTGGGCCCTGCATCCCGGGAGTTAATAATGGTGTACTTCCCATCAGGGCCAGAGTGAACGTATGCAGGCAAAGAGCTTCTCGCGTGCATGCTTCCTGATCACACGGGCAATGACCCTGAGACTCAGGCAGAAGCAGCGGGAGGGGTAGAGGGCAGATGATGCCACACTGGGCACCCAGGAGAAAAGTCAGAGGCCAGAGAGGATGAACCTAAAGGAGATAGGCTGTCCCCAGGCCCCGATGGTGAGAAGAGGGCAGCGGCTCCCACAGGCTGGCACCGCACACATTGAGGACAAGGTCCAGAGTGGGTGTGCCTGGTGTGTGGCTAGGGGGTGGTGTTGGGTGCAAGGAGCCCTGGTGGCGTAGCACCAGCTGCTCCTCTGAAGAAAGGTGGGCCTCTACTCCCACACGGAAGGGACAGTCTCAGGAACTCACCAGGGCAGTTCTGCCCGGCCCTACAGCCCTACATAGGCTGGATGGCAGTAAGTTTGCACTTTGGTTTTGCTTTTTGGTGGTGTTGGGTGCCCGTGAGTCAGCTTTGACTGGTGGGGACCTCGTGTGACACAGTAGAATGCCCCCTGCGGGGTTTCCTAGGGCTGTCATCTTTATGAAAGCAGATGGCCAGGTTTTGCTCAGTGGAGCCACTGGGAGGATTCGAACAGGCAACCTTTGGGTAAGCAACTGAGTACTTCACTCTTTTACCACCAACCAGATCCCCAAACCGAACCCACTTCTGGCACGTCGATTCCACACATAGCAGTCATAGGGTTTCTGAGATTGTAAATCTGTAGGGCAGCAGCCAGCTCCATCTCTCTCATAGAGTAGCTGGTGGGCTTGAACCTTCCACGTTGCCGTGCGCAGCCTGACGCCTAGCCCCCGATGCCAGTAGGGCTCCTTCATTTGCTACCAGGGCCCCTTTATACCCAAAGAAACTGATTCCTTTTGTTTTTTAAGAGGGGTGGGGGCAATGTTCAAAGTCTCAAGGGTCAGGAGGCACACAGCAAGACTTGAACTCAGGACTCCCTGCGGTTAGACATGGCCTGCCTGCTCAGCTCTCCACAGCCGCCACAAGGCCACTGTCCCAGGCTGTGTATGGGGAAGTCACTTGGAGGTGGTGCGTCCCCAGTGCTAAAGGAACAGACAGGCCCCCATCTGGCCTTGTCACCCACAGGAACGTTCTTTAAGACGCCTGAACACTGGAGAGCCCACTGGTGTCTTTGCAGACCCTAACGGTCCTGGGTGCCTCCTGGTGCTTGCCAACAGGTGCTTTGGGCTCCTGAGCCAGCGTCCACCGTCCAGCTGGGCCCTTGAACTCGTGGCCCAGATGGGTCTCTCTCCTCTCCTGCCAATGCCAAGCTGTCTGGAGGGCAGGGGCTGCCCTGCTTTGCCCGGAGGGGGAGGGCGGGGAAATGGGCCACTAAGGACCACTAATCCCAGGCAGGGTGAGAACCACTCAAAAGCAGATGCCTCTGGGGCGGGTTTTACTGCAGCTCTAATTAAGCCCTTGTCAATTTGGGCAGAGCCTCCTCTCCTCATTGAACACCATATTAATGTCAATTTGATCTCCGAAGGCTCCCGGCGCCCGGCTGGAAAGTCTCCCACACTTTTTAGCTGGTAGATTTTCTTTCTCTCTCCCCACCAGCCAGCGTTGTGCGTCAGCCCTTCAAGAAGCGGAAAAATCCGATTTCTCCGCTGTCCCTCTGGGTTTGTCCTTTGAAATTTGGCAAAGAGCACTGTGTGCCTTCACAGCACGGCTCTCCTGCCCTCCGGCCAGGCCTGGAGAGGAGCCCTGTGGCCTTTAGGGGTGGACTCGTGTAGTGGCCCCAGTCACTGGGGTGCCACCGTGCAACAGATGGGAGGGCAGGGACCTGGCCAGCAGGGTTCAGGATCGGCTTACTGGCATCGGACAGGAAACCTCCCAGGGTGGACCCTTTGGGCTGTGTGTGAGGACGTGGGGGATACGTCGTATGCCTGTGTGGTCACTAGCCAGGGATTTCAGCAGAGAGGGCTCTGGGCCCGGACACAGGACCCAGCCAACCTTCAGCTGGAATGCGGACCACACTTTCGCAGAGGGTGAAACGGTGCCCCAAACCAGTGCTGCTGAAATAAAGGATTGTGCAAATATGCAGATTCTTGGGCTTAGAGGGGCCCTTCCATCTGGCTAAGGTCCTGGTGTGCCCACCACAGGTTTCAGTGGGGTAGATGCTGCCTCTGCAGTAGATTGGGACCCTGTTCTGGGTGGCCATGGTAGACAGAGCCCCTCCCTGATAGTGCTGCTTCAGACAAGGGGCCTGTGTGTGTGTGTGTGTGTGTGTGTGTGT